TTTCTCAGTTACGTTTCCTCATGCCAGTTTGAAGTCCATTCAATTTTCATTGTAAAATCGACTTCGGGCTAGTACCTCCCCGTATATATGTATGTAGTTAGTTCGGCATTCAAAAGAAACTGTGTTCCCTACAAGCTAAGTGATAGATGGTATTCGCTAGCATTAAACTCAGAACAGAGCATGTGGACAGGCTTTCATTCGTCTAGTATAAAGGGAATGGGTTGCACTAGAAATAATTAGTCTTGTTTCTAAGTATGTTTCCTAGTGTCGGTAAATTTGTTGCAAGTTTCACGGTAAAACAGTTGGAGCTAGTACCTCTCCATATATATTAATGTATTGTAGTTTCCCACTCAAAAGAATATGTTTTTTTCCAACAAGCTAGGTGATTGTCGGCTTTCACACACACTTAACTCTCAGAATAGAGCATGTGGAGTCTGGTTCGTTCATCTAACATAAAGGGAATGGGTAGCATTAGAAACACTTACTCTGATTTCTCAGTATGTTTCCTAGTGCCGGTTTGAAGTTCATGCAGTTTTCACTGTAAAATCGACTTGGAGCTAGTACCTCCCCATATATATTTATGTAGTGTAGTTCCCCAGTCAAAAGAAACTGTGTGTTTCATACAAGACTAGTGATAGATGATTTCGCACACATTCAACCCTCAGAACTGAGCCTGTGGAGAGACGTTCGTTCATCTAGGATGAAAGGAATGATTTGCCGTAGAAGCACTTACTAAGGTTTCTCAGTATATTTCCTATTGCCGGTTTGAATTTCATGCATTTTTCACTGTAAAACAGAGTTGGAGCTAGTACCTTCCCATATATATTTATATAGTGTTATTCCCAACTCAAAAGAAACTGTGCGTTCCCAAAAAGCTAGGTGATTGACGGCTTTCACGCACACTTAAGTCTCAGAATAGAGCATTTTAAGATACGTTCATTCATCTAGCATAAAGGGAATGGGTTGCATTAGAAACACTGACTCTGGTTTCTCAGTTTCGTTCCTAGTGCTGGTTTGAATTTCATGCAGTTTTCACTGTAAAGTCAACTTGGAAATATTACCTCCCATATATATGTGTGTATTGTTTTCCCTACTCAAAAGAATCTGTGTGTTCCCTACAAGCTAACTGATAGATGGCTTTTGAACACATTCATCTCTCAGAACTGAGCATGGAGAGAGGCTTTCATTCATCTAGGATGAGGGCAATGGTTTGCAGTAGAAACACTTAGTCTGGTTTCTCGTTATTTTTCC